TTCCTTGATAAAGGAGTTTTCTTTAGTTGTAAACAGTCCCGCACCAGAGCCTACCTTGTGTATGTTAGCCCCAGAATTCACGAGTCAGCTGAGTGAGTTCTTTGCTGGTTTTGCCCAGTTTTACCCAGCTGCATGTACATAGACAGCTCTGGAAGAGGGCTCGTGGGGCCGAAGGTCCTCACTCACATGCTGGCAGTTGGTGCCAGCTTTTGGTTGGGCTGCACCAGCTTCCTTACGGGATGATACTCGAGAAGCGTTGCTTATTTTCTCAACAATTTTTGTTGTTTGATCACATTTTTATAAGCTAGTGGTAAATAGAACAAAGGAAGATATAAAAGGATATCTTTTGCTTTATAGCTGTCTTAAAATTATTTTATGAAAATTAATTAGCTATATATAACAGGGGTATGTCTCACAAATGTAATATTGTGTAAAAGAAACCAGCTATAAATTGGGCATATACTGTCAGTCTTTGTATATAAATAAAGTTAAAAACCGGCAAAACTAATGTATGACGTTAAAAACTGAATATTGCTTACCTTTGGGAAGGAAGGGGAGGGGATTGTGACTGGAAAGGTTACAGAAGGATTTATGGGATGTTCTGTTTATCTAGGAGATAGTTACATGGCTATGTTTGCTTGATTAAAATGTATTGAACTGTATATTTACAATTTGTATACTTTATATTTGTCTACTTCCATGAGAAAAAGATAAATGAGGGAACAGTAACCATGATGACATCATAATGTGGACCTAGCCTTTTCTTAAGTAACTAGTTTTAAATTTGAAAGGCAGTGAATGTTGAAAATATCATCTTTAAAATTTACTATTTTTTTTACACTTATATGACAAGTGTATCAAGTGTTTACTTATTATATATTGAATAACCCTCTTAACATACTCTTGAGGAAGTCTGCAATAATAAATTATATATTTAAAAAGAAGTCCTAAGAATCTTTTGATATTCAGACGGCACATTTCTGTGTATTTAGTGGACATTTTGAGATCCTGAACTGTTGCTTATGTTACCAATAAGGTCATCTCCATTTCTTTCTGCTCTTTTAAGGTTTTGCGTCCATTCCTCCTTCGTCGAATTAAGGCTGATGTTGAAAAGAGTTTACCTCCAAAGAAGGAAGTAAAAATCTATGTGGGCCTCAGCAAAATGCAAAGGGAATGGTATGTGTTTTGAGACGTTTTTGAAATCATTCTTAATTCTTCACTGACTTTCATTTGTACTTTGCTTTTGTGCTGTGTCATCAAGGGATTCAGTCTGCTGGTGTGCGCTCAGCCTGACCAGTTTCCCGGATATAGAACCTGGGAGTTATCAGCAAATTTATGATACCAAGTCTCTGTTAAAGATGACACAATCAGCTTGGGAAGTTTATGAATTCAAAAGTTAAACTTGGCATTTAACAGAGATGGGTGTAAAGCTCTCTACATGGGTTTTTAAAAAAGAAACTTATGGTGGCACGGATGTGAGACGTGGTTAACAGGTGGGTCATAAATACTGGCCCATGGGTTCCTGCTAGTCCCTGATGAAGTTGGAGATTGTAGAGGTCTGAGAAAAGTTAAGTGCTTTCTCTTATCTCAGAAAGCCATATTTATTTAGTTTATAAGTCCATTTTGAGCTGATGTTTTGTTTTAGGTAAGATTAAAATGTCCTTTTGTGAATTTACAGTAATGACACATGATAGCTATTTTAAAAGCACCTAAATTGGGCATACTAAGAAAGCTGAAAACCTTCTAAGTTTCTGTTGTTTTTGTCTTTCCTGTTTTCCTTTTTTAAAAGTTTTATGGGTGTATGAAATCTTAAAAGGCTAGAAACTGCTGATTTAAGTGTTCAGAGGAGGGAAATAATCTAGCCACTCTGTTCTTACTGCATCTCAAGTATGTTCAGTTCAGTGCTCAGCATTGATCAGTATTTTTAAGGAGCTGGAGTTGTTGGTAAAAGGACATAAAAGATACAAAGCAAAGAAATGGGCAAAAGGTAGCCCATTCTAAATGTCCTCAAAAATTTTGAAAGGTTTTAATAGAGTAGCAAAGAGTTAGGCTTGTCTTATATGGCTCTAAAATACAGAATTAAGACATGAATCAGTGCTTAGGTAAAGCAAACTTTTTTTTCATTTATAACCACATTGGTGAATTTTACATTAGAATTGTGATGGAAAGGTCTGCCTTGACTATTTTGTGCCTCCTAATTGGAGTTGTTAAGCATAGATGGCTTTGGTTATTTAAGTTGTTGCTCAGAGAATTCAGGGTCCTGAAACTTTGGTATTTGGACAGATTACTCTTTCCTTTAGGATAGTGTCTAACTTTTTAGTGTATACAGTCAAGGCTTTTCATAATAATCCAACCTTAGCCTAACTGCCCCCTTCTCTCCCTTAGCCCATGCACTTTAACATTTAGAGCTATTGTATTTTATTTTCATCATCATGCCTTATGTTCTCATAATTCTTATTTCCTCGTTACCCAAATGATACACTGGCTACACTGAATAATAATGGATAGTAGCATTCTTCTTTCGGAAAAGACTACGGATTAAAATTATGTTTAAAACTTACTTTTAAAGTTTGGCTTTATTACTTAAAAATGTTGTATCATTATAGTTTTGTTTCAGTTCATCCCAAGAAGATGAATTTACTCTTTTGGGCCCCTAGGCCCAAGCATTATAGGTGCACATTAGAACACCGAGGGTGGGGTTGGAGGCAGCAAGGAGAAACGGAAGAAAAAAGACGTTTGGGTGATGACACTCCTCAGCACACATTAGAAGTTGATGGGTTGTTTTGTATGGGTATTTTCAGGTTGAGATGGGGTTAAGTATATAAAATGGCGGGGACCTGTCCAGGAACATTTGAGCCATCGTAAAATGTTTTTCTTTTTGCTAGGTACACTCGGATATTAATGAAGGACATAGATATACTGAACTCTGCAGGGAAGATGGACAAAATGCGGCTGCTGAACATCCTGATGCAGTTGAGGAAGTGCTGTAACCACCCCTATCTCTTTGATGGCGCTGAGCCGGGTCCACCTTACACAACAGACATGCATCTGGTCACCAACAGTGGCAAAATGGTGGTGCTGGACAAGCTGCTCCCTAAGTTAAAGGAACAAGGTACCTCTTGCTGGCATCAAACGGAGAAGCCGTGGAAGCTTAAGGTTCTGATGTTAAAATGAGGGGGCTCCCCTACACGGCACTTTGTGAAGCTGAAGTTTGGACATTGAAAAACTCCTATCCATTAATCTGAGCTTCACACCCCACCCTGCCAACCCCCCAGTTTTAAGCCTCAAATTTTTCAGAAAGCGATCTATAGTTAGGTTAGTCACACTCACTGGATTTTGAGGGAAAATTCTCATTTTCTATACACGTTCCTAGAAATAACATTTTTTTGTTATGTCAAGAGTGCTGTTCCCACTCATACAGTTCACAGAGCCTTTGATAGACAGTGGTGGTGTGTTCATGGTGGTGCTCTTCAGTTTATGTGTGTTTTTAATTTAATTAAACATTATATGCATGGACCCAAAGCAATTTTATTTACAATATGCTGAGTTTTATATGAAAATGAGTATGTGTACAGATTGATTTAAATTACATGAGTGTAGAGCGAATTTTATATGAAGCCAGCTTCAACAACTATAAACTAATGGCAAAACTTGTTTTCATCTGAACTGTACCTGTTTCCTCCTTTTGGACTCTTGAACCATATCCCAGACATCAAGGCATTTCATGAACAAATTATTCCTTCTATAAAATGAAGTACACAGGTTTCAAATTTCTCCATTTGTGTTTCTCTGTATGTTTTTATAAGAATGATAATTGTACCAGTAGATGAATCTGTTTTAGGATATTGACTGTTGAAAACATTATTAGAGTTGTCAGTGAATTTGTTTTCTTTTTATACCTTTCTTGAGAAATGTATTTTCTAAAATGCTTTCTTTAAAAGTTAAGTAATTGAAGAAATTGAGTATGCAGGGAAGGGTGGCAAGAACTTGGTAGGAGACTACTGAACATCCTTAGGCATTTCGGGCATGAGAACGTGGAACATGAGCAGATTATCAGCCTCAGATTCTGAGACAAAATAGTTTCATAGTTACTATTTTCCAAAATGATCCACTGGTCTTATATCCTACTGAAGGCATTGTGCAGCTAGCTAAAGAAATGGAAGCATTGGATAATTTGAGTTGTGGCCTAAATGAAGGATGATGGTGCAGGTGTTAGGCACATCTGGATGGTCCTTCCATCTGGAGTTGGGTCTTCAGAACTAGAGTGAAATCAGGGTACTGGATGTGTGTCAAGGGATGCCTGGGGCCTTGCACAGGGAAGGGTTGTTGTGGTGGAGGGTTATTTTTAAGTATGTGGGATATAAAGCTGTCTTTGGGATGGCAAGATTTCCCAGGCCAGAGGCAAATAGCCTTTCTTGTTTACTTCAGTGTGTTTTTATAAATACTACCCTTTTCTGTTTGTGCCTTGATGGGAAAAATGTGGGGAGTGACTGACTTGGATAATAAATGATGTGTAGTCTTTTCCTTGTAACTACATTACCTGAAATTAAGGGGTAATTGGTTAGTCTTGGTTTTGGTTAGCCGTAAATTTAAATAAATTTGTTTTACTTCCGAAGCTTCTGATAGTGGTCTGTTATATTTGCCAACAGGTTCGCGAGTACTGATCTTCAGTCAGATGACCAGGGTATTGGATATTTTGGAAGATTACTGCATGTGGAGGAATTATGAGTACTGTAGATTGGATGGACAGACACCACATGATGAGAGACAAGTGAGTAGAATTGGGGGAAGGGAGATGACAAAAGTATCAGATAAAATACTCTTCTGACTTTTATTTTATATCATAGGAGTCCATCAATGCATACAATGAACCAAACAGCACAAAGTTTGTTTTCATGTTAAGCACACGAGCTGGTGGTCTTGGCATCAATCTTGCTACTGCTGATGTTGTGATTTTGTATGACTCAGATTGGAATCCCCAAGTAGATCTTCAGGCCATGGTAAGAGATAACAAATATTCTCTGTGCTTAATAGATGTTTTCACTTAAAGTAAGCTAACGAGCAGTCTACAAATGTCAGTGACTGAATCTAATAGAATTGTACTTTCTCTGACCTAATAGTTCAGTGAGGGTATTTTGCAGGTGATCATCCATCTAAATCAGGTTATTTCCATCTTACATCTTTGCCGTATCTTAGGACCTTAGAGTTTTGTTACATCGTTTGCATCAGGAGAGAAAACTGGGAATTGCCCAGGGAATTTTTTATGGGTCAGAACTGACAGTGTCCCCACTTTCATTGGCCAGTACTCAATCACACAGTATAACTTACTGCATAAGAGTTGGTAACTAATAGTATAGTTGTGTCCTAGGTGGGACGGTAAGCAGGTTTGGGGAGCTGCTAAACTGCCTGTCATGTTTGATTTTTAAAATTTTAGGCCCATGCATCTTGAGTATTTTGGCCTGATCAAGAGAATCGTTCTTATGTTGAGAAAACTTATTGATCTATAGAGTAATACAAAAACATAAAAGTTTGTAAGTTGGTACTGCTAATAACTTGACCTGTGGTGTTTACATCTTTCTTGTTGGCCACTTTCATCCTGTGACTCTTTGTAAAGGTGGCTGGGGGAAATCGATAAATTAGAAATAGGGATGCTTTATAAGAATGTGTTTTCTGAACTTAACAGAAGTGAAACAGAAAATGGAATTCAAATTAGTTTGACTTCTTAAATGTAGTTGATTGGGTACTATTTAGACTAGGATTTTTATATTGTTTGTGGAGTTTGTTTATTTGTGTCACTTTTTCCCCTTAATTGTAGTGAAAATTTAGATTTGCTTTAGTAGAGAAACATTTTGAATTTAAACTTAAAAAGAATTTAAAAAAAAGTTTTATTGTCATACTTAAAGATTATAATTTTGTCTGTGTTGTCTGAAGACACTGTATTTTATTTCCATATAACCTGGTAAAATTATTATGGTAGTTTCTCACAGATTCAACACGTTCTATGCTTCTGGAAGGATTTCTTGTGAGATAACTGATTAATTTGATTGAAATTGAGACTTTAAGAAATGTTAATGAAATGTTAATGAATATGAATTCATCAGTGTTTTGTTTCATATTTCTAAAACCATCTTGAACTTGAGAATATTTTCATTTTGTTTCTCAAGATACACATTCAAATGTTATTTATGTGAATTTTCAACTGGATTCAGAGTAACCTAGTTATTTTCTTAGGACCGAGCACACAGAATTGGACAGACCAAGACAGTCAGAGTGTTCCGCTTCATAACCGACAACACTGTAGAAGAGAGAATAGTGGAGCGTGCTGAGATGAAACTCCGGCTGGATTCAATCGTCATCCAGCAGGGTGAGCCTAGGACTTTGAACATTTACCAGGTTGAATTTATAACACTTTCCCCTGGATTTCCTAGTTCAGAATTATTTATTGAACAACCACAGATGCCAGGCGTTGTTCTCAGTGCTGAGAATACAAAGGTGACTTGAAACCAACCAGTGTTTTTACTTTCAAGGTGTTTATAATTCAGTGAGAGTGAGACACAGAATAAACTTATATGTAAGTAGGACTAGATGGTGAGAGTGGGATTTTATTTTGGATGAACTGAAGGGAACTTCAGGTTCTTGGGCCAGATCAGCTTTCAAGGAAGACATTTGTGTTTTCATGAAGCTTAAGATGCATCTTTTAGTGATGGGATATGTAAAATGTAAAAATGAAAACAAACCCTCAGCTTCTTGCCCACGTTGGTGTCTTTTCCTCCCAAACTGTTGTGACCAAATACATTTTCTCTGTCCCTGAAGCGGAGAGGTATACTGTCGTGTTGTCGTGGTAGTCGCTCAGTCTTGTCCAGCTCTTTGCGACCCCGTGGACTGTAGCCCGCCAGGCTCTCTGCCCTTGGAATCTCCAGGCAGGAATACTGGAGTGGGTAGACATTCCCTCTCCAGGGGATCTTCCCAACCCAGGGATGGAACCTGACTCCTGCACTTCAGGCAGATTCTTTGCTGTCGGAGCCACCAGGAAGGCCCCCAGGGGGATGCTGTGGCTTCACGGGCCGGGAACGAACGTGGGCCTCCCACATGGCAGGCGAGAACTCTCCACTCAACCGCCTGTGCACCAGTAATGTTGGTTGCTCAGTTGTGTCCAGCTCTCCATGGCATCTTCCCTACCCAGGGGTTGAACCCGTGTCTTTCGTATTGCAGGCAAATTCTTTACCGTCTGAGCCACCAGAGAAGTCCAATGGACTTTGTTGAAATCAGAAAATTCTGTATATCAGAACTTTTTTTTTTGCCATGTAGTTTGTGGAATCTCAGTTCCCCGACCAGGGATTGAACCCAGGCCGCAGAAGTGAAAGCCCAGAATCCTAAGCTCTGGGCCACCAGGGAGCTGTCATGTTATCTACTGATTATTCCGTTTGTGTGTTTTGGTTTTGTCAGCCAGTGTCTTAGGTTTCTTGTAAGGAAGGGAATGTTACATTTCTTTGATATCCCATAATGCGCCATCACGTCATGGCAAATAGATGGGGAAACTGTGCAAACAATGAGAGACTTTATTTTTGGAGGCTCCAAAATCACTGCAGATGGTGACTGAAGCCATGAAATTAAAAGGCCCTTGCTCCTTGGAAGAGAAGTTATGACCAACCTAGACAGCATATTAAAAAACAGACATTACTTTGCCAACAAAGGTCCATCTAGTCAAAGCTGTGGTTTTTCCAGTAGTCATGTATNTCTTATGAGTGATGTAATGGTCCTCACACTCATGCGTGGTTTTAGAAAGACATCTGCCTTGTGGTTCTTGTTGTCAATTATTTTCATCTCTGAAACAGCATTTTTTTTTTTTTTAAAAAGGTTAAACTAATTCTTTTACAGTCAGCTGAGAAAAAGTCTTTTGACTTTGGTTTTTTTTTTTTTAGGGCAAATTTTGGAACAAATCTGTGCTAATAGCTTTATTAATCCCATTTATAGACATACTAGTCAAACAGCAAGCCTTTGGTGTATGCGGCCGGGTTATGTTTTGTGTACTAAGGGATATAATAAAAAAAAAAATGGGAATATATAGAAGTACTTACATCTGAAAAGTTCCTTCCCACCAAGAGGAAAGTAATTCCTGTAAGCCTAAGAACATTTTTGTAGCATTGAGATAGCTTTCAAGAGTCATGTTCTTTATATTAAATATGTGTCTTAACTTTGAAAGTCACAAATATTTGATCGTGTATTCTGTGAGGAACCTAAAACCATGATACAAGGATTTAAGATCCCAGAAAACAACTTGTATCTTTATGCACTCATTACAAGTTGATTGAAGTAGAAAAATTGAAACACAAGTAAATGTGAATAGCTCTTGTAGTTTGGCAATGTGAAGGTTTTTGTACTTCATTTTCTAAGTAAAAAAGGCTGATTTGGGATTATTAGTGATAATACTAATCAGTTTCTGCTTATCAGAAACTTCCTGTATTTATAATACTCTCATCTAGGTTTTGGTAATTGGATTTTCAGATATCCCAAATTGCTGTTATTCTCACACGAGAATATATTTTATTGAGATGGTATTCAGTAGACTTCATTACATAACGTGTAAGCTTTAAATATAATATTTTATATTTATAAAATAATATTTATAATATTTTAAATATTAACAACTTAAAATTTGGCATTTTATGTAAAAGTGAAGGTTATCAAATGTAAATAAATAGAAATGATTAAGAAATGATTGAGGGCTTATATCGAACATTTAAAATTCCAGAAGTTTGATTAACATTACACAATATCTTTTCTCAGGAAGACTTGTGGATCAGAATCTGAACAAAATTGGGAAAGATGAAATGCTTCAAATGATAAGGCATGGGGCAACACATGTATTTGCTTCAAAGGAGAGTGAGATTACTGATGAGGATATTGATGGTATTTTGGAAAGAGGTGCAAAGAAGGTGAGATGCAGATTAAATGGTATTTCTAGTATATAAAATATTTTAAACCAAAACTGAGGAAATGGCTATGTAAGTTATACTTCTACAGAAGTTATAAAGTCCAATTCATTTTGACTACAGTTCTCATGCTTTTTAAAAATTCTCAAATCTAATAAGATGTTTCTTTTGTTTCCTTAGACCGCAGAGATGAATGAAAAGCTCTCCAAGATGGGTGAAAGCTCACTTAGAAATTTTACAATGGATACAGAGTCAAGCGTTTATAACTTTGAAGGAGAAGATTATAGAGAAAAACAAAAGGTAATTTAGAAAGAGATTTTGGTTACCTTAAGACTTAATATTTTAGTATGGAATTTAAGTGGAATATTAAGTCTGGAATATTAAGACTTAATATTTTAGTCTGGAATTTAAGTGTTAGGTGTGATGCCTTATCTCAAATAGCAGTCAATTCTGTTTGCTCACATCTGAATTATTTTCATTTGTGTGTTAAATTTAATGCCACATTTTCAGTTGGTAAACGCTGAAATGTTATAAAAATTTATGTGTACTGTTATAGTAAAGTATATTGTGTGGGGTGATTATAATAATTGGGGATATTTGGAAATTAAAACTACTGCCAAAAGTAAAATCTGTCACAACCTTATTAGTTGTGGAGTTTTTTTAAAGCAGAATTGGCTATTAGTAATTAAAGGGATGAACTTCTAATTTCTAAATTGCTATTTCCTTCCTAATTGGTATTATATAGTGAAATTAGAAAATTCCTGCTGGGCAGAAGGAAAATAATTCAACCTAATGATTTCCCTTTTAACATTTAGACATTTATATCCTTTGAATTTTTTCTAGGCTAAATATTTATCTACATTTCTCTCCTAATTTTGGTTCTAGCATACCATCTGTAGCATTTCTTTTTTCACCCAATCATCATTCATTTGGTTAGGAAACAATCACTGAATGTTTGTGCTGTTCCCTAGACATCCTCTTGTGTGTTAGTTGCATGGTTCCTAGCCTCATGTAGTCTAGGGTGTATGAACACCTGCATTCTTAAATAGGTCATATTAATGTGCACAGTAGGAGTTGCCTTCATGTAAGATCTGTGACTGTGTAATAAAAGCTGGTGATTTGAATTGTCTCCCACGGGTTAGATTGCATTCACAGAGTGGATCGAGCCTCCTAAACGGGAAAGAAAAGCCAACTATGCTGTTGACGCCTATTTCAGGGAAGCGCTTCGCGTCAGTGAACCTAAAGCACCCAAGGTGAGTTGACAGAACACAGATATCTAAAAATATTGGGAATGCAGATTAGTTTTCTTCTTATATTCTTGCAATAAAATCAGATTGAGAATTACAGTTTTATGTGGTTTCTTCCAGTATACCTCCTTCAACTTTTGTTGAAAGTTTTCTAAAAGTTAATTTTAAATGTAAGCATTTAACATTTGCTTGATGTTTGTTAAATTTTATGGAAGATGCATTCAGTTGCTTGGAGAATTGGCTGTCATGGTTTTATAGAGTGCAGAAAGATTTCAGATAGATTTAAAGCAAAATAGGTTTGTGTTTTTCTTTCTTTTTTTTTTTTTTTTTTTAACAAACAATGCTGTTTTTTTTTTTAGGCTCCTCGACCTCCAAAACAACCCAATGTTCAGGATTTCCAGTTCTTTCCTCCACGTCTATTTGAATTATTGGAAAAAGAAATTCTATATTACAGAAAAACAATTGGTTACAAGGTAACAGAAGTAACACTTTGTAACTAATCTCATTTGTTTTTACTTACTAAATGCATGATATCAATATATTTTCTTGGATTAAAACTTATAAAATTTCATGTAGTTGGTTAAGAGTTTAGTTCATCACGTGTTTCCTGAAATCTATTGACTGATGACACGGAAAAAATACATATGTTTTTAGGTCCCTCGAAATCCTGACCTACCGAATGCAGCACAGGCACAGAAGGAAGAGCAGCTTAAAATTGATGAAGCCGAGCCCCTCAATGATGAAGAGTTAGAGGAGAAGGAGAAGCTCCTGACACAGGTGCGCTTTCACCCAGAACCAGGTTTAGTGACGGGTCTTTTGTAAGGTGCCCTGTTAGGTTCTGTGCGGGTAAACAAAAGAAGTAAAGTTTCTCTTTTCACAAGTGGAATAATTGGAGGTGATGAGCATGGGCATCTGGGTATATGCTACGTTGTGATTGTCATTAGTTGTGGAGGTAGGAGAGAAGAGGGTAGATGTGCACCAAATTGATTGTTGTGGAGTCAGTATCTTTGATCACCTTTTTTCCAGCTCTCCCACCTCCCCTTTCCTGGGGATCTTCTCATTTTTACTATGTCGTTGTTCTCAATTACAAGTATCTGCTTGGTGCTTTTTGTAAACATCCTTTAGGATTCAATCAAGGCCTTTGAGAATCTAGCTTTAACCTACCTTTAAAGCTTTATTATTACTTTGTTTTGCCGCTTGGTTTATATGTTTGCCCTGTATGTTCATTCTGGCTCTTTACGTTCTTTCCTCCTGACAAACAATTTCTCCTTGAAAACGCAGTGAAAATGTCACTTTTTTGTGCAGCATTTCTTACTCTCTGACTCAGACTTAGTTGGTTGGCTGTCTAAGTAATGTATATGATGTATTGTTAAAGTGCCTAGTTACCACTTTAAAATAACTTAGAACTTGGAGCAACTGAAATTTTTCTATAATACTTAGCAGGATTGGTAAAGTTTTAATAGCTTTTCCCCCAAGCTCAGGGACTATATGCTTTGTTTTCTTTGCTTTGAAGGGATTTACCAATTGGAATAAGAGAGATTTTAACCAGTTTATCAAAGCTAATGAGAAGTGGGGTCGTGATGATATTGAAAATATAGCAAGAGAAGTAGAAGGCAAAACTCCAGAAGAAGTCATTGAATACTCAGGTACTTCTGTTATTTTAATAGGTATAAGAATGTTCTCAGGCTTTTGGAGGGCAGTTGGAAAGTTGAGATTTTCTTACTCTGAATGATGTATTTGTTTTCCTAATTTTTAAAAAATTTTTGGCCACACATGTGGCATGTGGACTTCCTGGTGGCTGAGATGGTAAAGAATCTGCCCGCAATGCGGGAGGCCTAGTTTCCATCCCTGGGTCGGGAAGATCCCCTGGAGGAGGACATGGTAACCCATTCCAGTATTCTTGCCTGGAGAATCCCCATGGACAGACAAGCCTGCGGGCTACAGTCCTTGGGGTCACAGAGTCAGACACGCCTGAGAGGTTGCGCACAGCACACATGTGGCGTGTGGAGTCTTGGCTCCCTGGCCAGGGATTGAACCCACACCTCCTGGGCTGGAAGCACAGTCTGAGCATCTGAACCACCAGGGGAGTCCGTGAATGATGTTTTGATAAGCTAAAGTTTGCCACAATGGTGTCTCATTTTGTTTTTTAAAAATTGAGTTAGAAAATCTCCCCTTCTTTAAAATGGCATCATTAATTTTTCTTTTTTTTACCCTCGTTAACTAACTGTAGCCAAGAAAACAAGAATAGGCCACTGGATAATTGTGCTTTCTTTTTACTTCATTTCTCTTTATAACTTTTCAAATACTATATAATTCTGTTTCCTGAAGTCTGTTGGGTTGACAAGTGGATGTGTGTAAGTTGTGCTATGGTGATTGCTGAAAATTTCAAAAGAGCAGAGAATTAAGTGTTGGGAGATACTTAAATCATGCAGTTCACCTTTTTTTTTTTTTTTTTAAAGTTAAGGAAAGAGAGGTAATTGTGTGACTTAGTAGTGTTAGATGTGGGAAGAAGGGAAACATTTCTTAATCCTTAGCAAATAAAATAGATCAGAGCATTTATAAAAACAAGTTACTTATATTTCTTCCCTTTCTCCACCTATCCCCTCTGCCCAATTTTACTCTTAACAGCTGTGTTCTGGGAAAGATGCAATGAGCTGCAGGACATAGAAAAGATTATGGCTCAGATTGAAAGAGGAGAGGCAAGAATTCAAAGAAGAATTAGTATCAAAAAAGCACTTGACACGAAGGTACTTTGAATATTAATAAGTATTGTAGTTAATAAAATAACTCCTGTCTGTAAGTATAAGAGTTAAAGTAACTATTTAAAAGGAAAAGAAATGATTTAGAATGAAAAATTTCTTCAGAGAACAACATTCAAACTTCATGGGGATTCTCAACAGGATTTACCTCAGTATTTCAGTTGGTATATGTGAGTCAGAGTCTCTGTGATTTAGCTCTTTGCTAAATAGTACTAGAAAATCTGAGTCTGTATTTCTTTTTAGAATAATAAAGACCAAAGTTGTTTCAGGACAAAGGTTAAGAATGATGGAAGTGCTTTGGATAGAAAATGGATGTGAAATGCAACATTTATAGCTAACTTTACTAAAACTGAGTTTGAAATATAGGTTATGTAGGATTTGTATTTTGTATAATGGGAAATCTGATTTTCATAGATTGGACGGTACAAAGCACCTTTTCATCAGCTGAGAATATCTTATGGTACTAACAAAGGAAAAAACTATACTGAAGAGGAAGACCGCTTTCTGATCTGTATGCTTCACAAGCTTGGATTTGACAAAGAAAACGTGTATGATGAATTGCGGCAGTGTATTCGCAACTCTCCTCAGTTCAGATTCGACTGGTTTCTAAAGTCCAGAACCGCAATGGTGAGCACTGGGGGCCTTTTTGTGGAATGAAGCAGATAATTCAGAGGAAGTAGATAATGTAGTATTGTTTAAGGTAACTTGTAAAATTTTATTAAGAGAAAATTTGTGTATCTTTGAAGTAAATTTTTGTTAGATTACTGTTTGTATCATAGGTTAAAGTAGTTCCTTAAGAAACAGTTGACCTCCACAGTTATAAACCTAATGTTATAAGTCACTTACAAAGTTTATTTTTTCCATCGTTTGATAGCACTTCTTTTAACATCACTATATACAATAGGATTAGTTTTTTTGTGTGAATTTTAATCAAGCTTTAAGTAGAAGGAAAAGTTGCATCAATTAACTTGTGAATAAGATGATCACAGTTTAAAATTTGACTTTTGCTTTTGTAAATAATACACATTTTTATAAAGAAAGGACTTCTACTCATGTATCTGCCCATCAGAATACTGAATTTTCAGTTAATTAAAAAGAGCATAGTGTGGTAAAATACTACCGTTTTAATGCTAGGTTCTGATCAGCAACTTCCATTTTTATGACCTAAAATTAGAATTCAGAAAAATATAGCTTTGATGAATTGCTCTTCCCTTATGTATTTTACCACCTTTTAATTTTTAGCTTCATCTTTTGTTCTTCAGGATTATTTAATGCCAAAAAAGTTCTGTAGTCTTAATTTTGAGACTTAATTTCTCTCAGTGTATTTAAAATACATTTTTGCTCTTCAGGATGGGATAGTTTGCAATCTCTAAGTGTTTGACCACTGAAGGTTTTTTTTTTTCCATTAAATGTCATTGGAGGCTGGTGTTTTATGAAACTCTAGGTTGGGAAATGTTGCTCTATAAATGCATTATAAATATACAGTTAGAGGAGACAGATTCAGTTGCTGTAAGCTCTGTATTATATCTTTTAAAGTAGGAACAATTTATAGTAAGTGATTTTATATTAAGTGAAGCAAGATGCAGTGTCACATTACTGGTATAATACCATAGTCTAAAACTGTTATTTCCTAACGTGTTTTATGTTAAGGCACACATACAAAATGATAATATGTGTATGGCCCCTTCCCCTTGTGATGAAACAGTTGAGGCATAATCTTTGTCTATAAGCCAAGCAGATTCATATCATAGCACATCTGTAAAACATTCTGGTTTGTGTATCTCAGTAAATTCAGAACTTGGATGTAGTGTACCTTCTCTCATATGTACTATTGCAGATATTTCCAAACCTTGTATGGTTGTGTCCTATATGATATTTTTAAATGATTTTGTTATTGTTTGTGTAGTACTGTCACAACAAGGAAAACACCAGTTTTACAGTTTAAGTTGGTTTTAACCCTCAAATATTAATATTAATTGGCAGTATTTTAAGTTTATATATAGATGACAGTTCTCAGGCATCAATGCTAGTAGCAGTATTGCACATATTAAGAGATGGTCATTTTCACTGCTTCAGTTCCTGAGTGAAGGAAGGATGTATATAGAATACACAGTAGCATGGCCTTAAATAATGAAGTGAAAGATGTACACATCTTTTTTTAATCCTCCTGGCATGGAATGTGTACGAAAATTAGTAGTTTTTTGCTTTCAAAAATTTTAATCTATTGGGAGTGTAAATGATATTATGCTATTAAAACATACCTATGGTTTTGAAATTGTATTCATGAAAACTTATAGATGGAGAATACAGATTTATCATGTAAAGTTGTGTTTATAACTTAGGAACTGCAGAGGAGGTGTAACACCTTAATTACCTTGATTGAAAGAGAAAATATGGAACTAGAAGAAAAGGAGAAGGCAGAGAAAAAGAAAAGAGGACCAAAACCTTCAGTAAGTACTGATGAAAAATGTAAATGTTTTCTTGGGAGACTTAAATTTTTTCAAGAATTTGAATATTACTTGGCTTACCACTGATGCATTAATCTTGTTTTTTGGTAGATAGCATAACCTAAATTGCTTAAAAAGTATAAACAAACTTGATTGCATTGTGTGGGGAATATCGTGTTATGGTAATTCACAATGTGGGGATCTGTAAAAGTTTGGTAAGGTCTGTCTTGTGAATGCCATGAGTCTACCCTTGACTATGAGAATACAGGTTACAATGTTAGAATATTTAAAGAAATATTAGGAAAGCAGTGACCTTTTACTGTTCACTTCTAGACTATGATTTCTTTCCCCAGTGACCTCTTAGCATTGTGAAGGCAAAAATTACAAGAGAGGAAAAGTTTTAATTTTGTTATTTAGTAATAACTTACAGGGTCATGAGTAAATGAACATCTGCAGAAAATCTGGTGTTCATGTAACCTCACGAAGTATTTCTCATTACTGCTTTTTTTTAATAAGAAGCATGTGTTGTACATTTGTTTGGTGTATTGACTTACTGTTGCTAATTGTGAATTACTCATTACTTCATTAATAGCAGTAAAATTTTTGTGTTAGTAAAATATGTAGATAAGATTATTTAGAGAATTAAGGTTCTTCGGGTTAAGAAAATTAATACCTGTTACCAAGTGGCAGTTATTAGTAAAGTGCTATTGTGTGTCTTCCAATGTATTTCATGTTAATATTACTCGTGTGATGAAGGAAATCCTTTTGTTTGTTACTAGACACAGAAGCGTAAAATGGATGGAGCACCTGATGGCCGAGGAAGAAAAAAGAAGCTGAAACTATGAATACATATTGTTTCATAATCACTAACTTTAAACCAGTAGTTCTTTAATTTACGGGTCTTCATAAGATGTACTGTACAATGCTCAATTGTTATGTCATTCAACGACATCAGGTTCATCTGTTTACCGAGCTAGAAACATAGTATGTAGTTTCACTTTTTTAAATGCAACAGCTGTGCTGAAATTTTTTTATCATTAACACTTGAAGTAATAAAATAGGCTTCATTTATTAATAAATGTTTCAGTTGATTTATTTTTCTATTATAGTTCCATTTGTGAGGATTGTGACTTTGTTTATGAGCTATAATTTCTATACTTGTGACGCTTAAAAAGAAGCAAACAAGTTAAAAAAAGAAAATTGCAGATAACACTTGTCCCTTCAGTCTTCACTTAGTTGTGTAATTGTTTTAATTGACTTTGCCTTTGCAGAAGTTTGGGTATCTTCTTTGTAGTGCTATTGAGTCTCATCCAGGAAGATTATGTACATTGCATTCTCCTTGCTTGTTATATGGGTAGAATGGGAAAAAAAGGCAAGACAAATTCTCATGAAATTCTATGCATATTTCTGTTGCGCTGTTTCTATAGTTCTGAGGTGAATATGCCCTGTTCTGTTTGGAAGAATGGCCTTTTAGTTGTATAGCCAAAGACATTTAGTATTTTCTGGTTCCTTAAGGTGTTATTGTACCATTTTGTAAAAGGAATATTATTATTATTTTTTTTAATTGTTTGGTAAATATTTTTGACAAATTAACCTTCTGAAGCAGCCACAACTTGGAAAGATAATGTCAAAACTTAAGATGATTTTTCTTTTTTTAAAAAGACCCAGCCAAAATAAGGTGTCAATTTGTCGTACTGTTAAATTGAAATTGGTAACAAAATGTATCCCTTTCCGGTTTAACCATTTTTGGGTTTTAGAGTAATTGAAAATTTTATTTTATTATATTTAAAATAATTTCTAAGTGTGAACAGCAAGAATGAATTAATTCCAGTTTTTATTTTCTATGGACAGACTTGATAAACTGGAGACCCTGAAGCAGGATTACCCAAATTGTAGTGTCAGGATTTTAGCTGTACCAGAGGCCTTTATGTGCTACACATAATTTGTATAAAGTTTTATATGTGCAAATTGGGTACATAAATAGTTCTCCATTTTTCTAAGGGAATGCAATAAATGTAGCATCGTGAATAAATATAACTTTTATAATCCTTAAGTGGTCTTTTCTTTCCATTTCTTTAATTTTCTTTTCTCATTTGATTTTTATTCACTTTTTTCCCTTGGGATATTATCTTTTTTCCTTAGATTTTCTCCCCATATCAGTTGCTTTTATCTGCCCACACATAATTGAGATTTCTATTTATAATGCTGATTTCTATAATATTACTAATACTGCTTACTTCTAAAAAGCGGGATTGTTGCTGGCGGTGTCAAGCAGAATGCAGTGTTTATAGCAATTTATGGAGTGATCTGTGTGTGTTTTCTGTCCCCCCCCCCCCCCCCCCCCCCATTGACTTCTCACCTTGGAGTCTTAAAACAACAATTACAGATATAATGTATGCAGAAATTGAGGAATGGTTACTCTTTCCATGGAAAAAGCTACTAAGAGTGGTGGCTTTATTTTGGAAGAAATAATTGGGAAAAACAAGGTTGAAGAAAACTTTACAGAGATCACAGGAGAAGTGTTTTCAAGACAAAAACAGCTAATGCCGTATGTGTGTGTGTGTGTGTTGGGAGGGAATGGAGAGAGTGGAAATGTAAAAGGAAGCTAGTGCCAGCCCTTCAGAGCTCAGGGACACTGGGAGGTACATGTGTAAATTGAAACACTTGAAAAAAGCATGAAAAGAAACAACAACGTTTAGCATTGTGGTTCACAGGTCAGTTACGATATCACTGTTGGACGTTTATCTAGAATAAAGCCAAGTTTTTATTTATATTGCTAGTTAAGGAAACATGATGACTAAGTCAAACCAACTATTTTAAAAGAGGAATTGATGGTAGAGGAGACTCAAAATTAGAACCCATTTGATTTCCTCAGTTTACAGTTGAGGAATAGGAAGTTTAAATGGGTGAAATGAATGGTCCTAAAGCCAGCTTAGAAGAGGCTAGGTGTTTACCTAGGTGACCACAGGGTCACAGTTGTTAGACTGTTTCATTTAATAAATAATTATGTATTGCTCTGTTGGGAAGATTATATTTTATTGGGAAGATATCTAGTAAAATTAATGTTACATTTCAACTTCAGTGTTTTAAATATTAATGTAACCTTGGGAGGGAAAAATGGGAAATTTTCCAGTAGCAAACTTTTTTTTAATTTAGGGTATTTCAAATTCATATAGTAGACTTAAAGTATGTGCTTTAATTTTATTGCAGGGCTTACATATGCTCATTATAATGTTTTAATCTGAACTCAATACCCTAATTTAGGGTAAGTGGCATTTATGGATACCTACATGTTGGTCTTTGTAGAACATTCAGTGTCAAGTGTGACAGGAACATGATAGTAAAAAGGGTCAATACATTAATATTAAACCAGCTAATACCAATTTGTTGGTTTTAAGTAATTATTTCAAATGTGATTACGCTTTATAATATTTGACTCTGAACATGTGATTTTAAAAAATGGTTAAAGACGTCTTAGTGTTGTGGATAAGTTCAGTTGTAGTGACATTTTAAGGAACATACATAAATCTCATTTCTGAGGAACCACCAGTCCTTAACACTGAACACTGTTCCTGTCAGTTTCCCTGGGGGAATTAACTCAGTGGATAGGCAGGTTCAAATTGGGAAAAGTAGGAAGAGCCAAGTCCAAAATAATGCACTTGTTTCAGGCATAGTTATCCTGGTGCCTGTAGCCATTTTATTTTTTTTTTTTTTTCCATTTATTTTTATTAGTTGGAGGCTAATTACTTTACAACATTGCAGTGGTTTTTGTCATACATTGAAATGAATTAGCCATGGATTTACATGTATTCCCCATCCCGGTCCCCCCTCCCACCTCCCTCTCCACCCCATCCCTCTGGGTCTTCCCAGTGCACCAGGCCTGAGCACTTGTCTCATGTATCCAACCTGGGCTGGTGATCTCTTTCACCCTAGATATACATGTTTCGATGCTGTTCTCTTGAAACATCCCANCTATATTTCTGTCTTTGTGCCAGTACCATACTGTCTTGATGACTGTGGCTTTGTAGTAGAGTCTGAAGTCAGGCAGGTTGATTCCTCCAGTTCCATTCTTCTTTCTCAGGATTACTTTGGCTATTCGAGGTTTTTTGTATTTCCATACAAATTGTGAAATTATTTGTTCTAGTTCTGTGAAAAATACCGTTGGTATTTTGATAGGGATTGCATTGAATCTAAAGATTGCTTTGGGTAGTATAGCCATTTTGACAATATTGATTCTTCCATTCCATGAACACGGTATATTTCTCCATCTGTTTGTGTCCTCTTTGTCCTGTAGCCATTTTAAAGGCAGGTGCAGCTCTTTGTAAAAATAATAGCATAACCTATCTCAGTCTGTCTGAAGCCAGAATACAGCATAGCCCTCACACGTGGATTTGTGCACGTTGAACGTTACTGCATGTGTTTGGGCAGTCACTCACTGAACATTGGTGGAACTTGACAGCAGAAGCGATCAGGGTAGCTTTCTGCTATCCTCACCACGTATACCTCTCTCTGAAGCCACCTTTCTGCTTGTGTCTCAGGTATCACTCAGTACTGCAAGTTTGACTTGGAAAGATATATCACCCTGAATCTGATGTATTTTGAAAACGATGAACATGGTCATCTTTGTACTTGCAGTGATAGACTAAAACCTTCACATGGGAGCTTGTTAGAAATGTAGAATCCAAGGCCTCACGTCAGACCTGCTGCACTAGAATCTGCATTTTAATAAGATGCTCAAAGGTGACTCATGCACAGGGAAATCTGAAAAGTACTGCTTCAAACTCATTTTACCAAAGCAAAGTAATGAAACCTTAATAGTTGTTCAATACAAGTGTCTTCATATTAACGTGAAGATTAACATATAACAACAGGGTAACATTTTTTAGTTTAGGTGAGGAAGATCCAATATTATTTCAGAGTGTGCTGAGTCCTTCAGTCATGTTCGACTCTGCAGCCCTCTGAACTGTAGCTTGCCAGGCTCCTCTGTCTGGGATTCTCTAGGCATGAATACTGGAGTGGGTTGCCGTGCCCTTCTTCAGGGGATCTTCCTGACGCAGGGATAGAACCCGCATCTCTTATGTCTCCTGCAATGGCAGGGTGGGTTCTTTAGCACCACCTGGGAAACCCCAAAATGCTTTTAAGTTGAATTTTGGATCTGCAGATAGTTTTAGAAGAGGTTTTTCTGGTGAGTTGTAACAGTCTAGCATCAGTCATTGCCTCGCGGTTACCTTGAGGCAGGTGTGCGGTTGGAGGAGCAGCAGCAGCGGCAACGCCCGGGAGCTGTTAAAATTACAGATACTCACTCAGACCGTCCTCCGTTTTGCTGAACTGAAATCTGGCGGGGAGGCTTTGCATTTCTGTCTCAAGCCCTCCCGGTGATGCTTACCGAAGTTGGAGATGCACCGAGTTAGCACCTCTCACTACACTTGTTGGTTTCCCTTTCCTTTACATGGGACAAATGCTACATAACCTTGGATTGTGACTTGCTTTTTTCTACTCAATTTTGTAAATCCACTTATGAAACTATAAAAGGCAGCATGCTGAGTGTGTGGGTCATTAAATGAATAATGGCTGAGTCATAGCGAAGATGAGATGTTCATTGGTAGAGAGATAAGCGCCTCTCCTTATAGGGATAATGTGATGAATAGACAGTGGTCAACTGGACTCGGTGACAGAATGCTTTTGGTTGATTGTGTCATCTTTCACAGAAAGGACCCTTTTTTTTTTTTTTTAATACCATTTTTACCATTCTGAGCACGTTTTCCCTGTGTATTGTCACTTTGGAGACATGATTGATCTGGTCTGAAGTCAGAAACATGTCTCTGTGTTCATGCACAGACAACAACATCTCCTAGGGATGGTCAAGGTCAACTTGGAGAGAAGACCTTTCACCCTGCAGCGCAGAGTCTGCGCTGACTTCTGGGGAGTCACCATAACCTCCAAGCGGCGTTCCTGTCTGGTTGCTGTTAAAGCAGCTTACAGATGGGCCATTTTCCTCATCTGTGGCATCAGCCTTAGGTCTGAGGAGAAGGGAGGCTGGTAGCACGAGGCAGCTCAAGAGCAGGAGCCCAGATGCACCCCACAGATGGACGTGGTGCTGCCTGAAGGATCCCAACCTACAGCTTCCATTCCTATTTGCTGATGAGCCACGCCACCTGGGAACCAGTCTGGAAGGAAGTCTGGCTTTTTTAGAGTGGTTCAGGGTGATATGCTGAGTATGAGTGCCCTTCTTTTTATCAGCTCCTGTATCTGGAGAGAGGGTCAGGAATGAGTGCTAAGGGCACCCTCAGCACTATAACCTGAAAAACTGGAAGAGGGTGAGGGCATCACTGTAGTTGAAACGTGCTTTTTGCCCAGCATCAGTGGACAAAGAAAGGTTCAGCCTTTTGTTCTTAACTGTTGATTTAATTGACGACAATGGGTTTCACTGGCCTTGGTGACAAAAGAAAAAGGAAAACACAGAGCCCAGTCTAATAATGCTTTGTAGGCTTATTCTTGCTCTTTATGTTTTCATACAGTTGCATAAACTACACTTGCACGTATCACCAGAATGTATGTAACACCAAGGACAGTACAATACCAATGATATCCCAGGGTTGCAGTGATTTGGAAACTGTTGTTAGGAGAACTGTTTTGGCTGCTTCCTCTCCTTTAAAGTCTTTCAACCAAAAGGAGGACAAGCACTCTGCTTACAGTCAGCGATGGTGTCATTGATGAAAATGGTGGTTTTATTGGGTTCTCCAAGTGCTGCACCCAGTGGCATCTGAAGAAGTAATTCAAACCGCTCTGAACCCTCAAAGATGGGCTGTCCCAGGTCAGCAAGGATTGTCACTCGGAACATCTGAACACGCACTCCTGGAGCAAAGTTCAGTTTTTGGCTGATGCCAATATAATCTAATCCAGCTAGTGGGAAAGGAAAAGCCAAGAGTAAGATGCAGGAGTCACTGCCCGACGTTTTCCTTCAGAGAAAGATGGGTGGTCCTTAGCATTGTCCTATGTATATGGCACCCTCAAACTCATTTTTTTGGCTTGATCCTCAGAAAGGGGCAATCT